GGCGAGGCCCCCACCTAGAACAATAGGTTCTCGCGGCTCGTCCCTGCGCGACGCCTCCCCGCTAACGCGCCCGCTAAAATATAAATAAATCAAATGACTGTCATCGTTAACAATATCTTTCCTTCTCAATGACAATAAGCTGTTACGATTGGAAGAATATGTAATATCACCACAGGGCCGTGCATTTGGGGATTTCTTGCTGCCTTGGGAAAAACACGAGTCTGAAATGCGAGATCTCATTAAATGTCCTCCCAGGCAAACGTAAAGGGGGAAGGCAAAAAAAAAAAAAAGAAAAAAAAAAAGTGGGTGAAAGCGGCCTAAGAAGGAAAAATCGGTTTCCCGTGATTACAGAATTGGCATACGGGATAACGACATCTAAAGTTGTAAGAGGATACGGGCAGCTCCTCTTCTCTAAAGGAATTAATTGACAAATCAGGGAAGAGGGATATTAAAACGCTGCCGCCTGCCTTTAGCAGCGGTGCAAAGGGATGACCTCATAAATCATTAGCTATAGGTTATCAAATTCGAGCCAGACCTGCTACACCCTGTATTAAATTAAACATTGGGAGCCTATTGGAGGATGCATTATTTGGGGGACCAAATTCTGTTATCGATAAATACAGACTAAAAAAACGATTTCTAATTAAGCATGACATTAGTGCACAGGCTAGTTACAAAGCAAGCCAGGGCTATTGTTCGGTTAGGAAAGTGGCCTTATGCAACGTGATAGGTCGTGATCAAAGTTCATCTTTCTGGGTTTCTCCCTGAAAATGGAATTAGAACATGGCAATAAATTTATTAAAGCCCACAGAGCTCGTGCTGAGGGACTGAGGCTTGCTCGACTTGCAGGAGGAAAGAGGAGGAGGGAACTGTGGTATCTGGATGTGATTTTTGCTGAAATGCCATCCCAAATTACAGGATCAAATATTACAACAATATATTTGCTGACAGTTTAATGAGTACAGTTTCGTGTTGCAAGGATAATGTTCAGATGAACTTACCTATTTTTGGGGGTCATTTTGAAATCTTTTGTAAATTATACTCAGGGAAAATAGTGAATTTATTACAGCCCTCATCTGGCTAAATTAGCCACAGAAAATTGCTGGTTATGTGTAGCACTTTTGCAATAAACGCATACGCTTCCCAAAGTGGAGGATTTAGTAAGCAATTTGGATCCGTTAAAAGCAGGTCGATTCTTTAAACTTGATATAAAATAACAGGGAGGCAACAGCAAGAATAAACTAATTTGTTGACTGCAAGCCCCTGATTGCTGTAGGAGGAACATGACCTAAAATGTTCTCTTGAATTCTTCCTCTCCTCAATTGTGCTCCGTGGCAGTGGGCTGGTTCGGGAAGCCTCCTCTGCAAGATATTTTAAGTACAAATCGTTTGATTTGCCTTTCAGGGATCTATGAATTAATAGCATTGCTATACTTTGTGAAAACCAAATGCCATCTGGTTTAAATCCTTAAACCAGCCCAGCCAATATTTTATTTTTTTTTTTCCCCTCTGTAAAACTGAATCAGCAGGCTGCATGAAGGAAAGCATAAAAATAAGAGAACGTATCTTTTAAGAGTATTTTATCTGGTTATGCAAAAAAAAAAAAAAAAATCCTTTACAGAAATCTGGGTCGGGAGAGGGCCATTTTTGAATTTTTCCATTGCTGCAACAGTTAACCTTTAATAAAAACGACCGCTAAATATTTAAGAAAATCAAGTAGACGGTGAAAATTATTTAATCATAAATATCTCTGTGGGATTTTAAACTTAACAGTCCTTCCGGTATGGAATATGTGTAGAAATAACACAAATAAAAGTATTATGCCACAGTACATTTACTTTATGGGTTTAGGGTGCATGCATAAAGGGATCATATTTCCCCATATAGTTAAAACACAAGAACTGCAGCAGTAGTCATTTCTGAACATTTCTCAATTTAATTATACTTAAATCCAGAAGCACTTTAGGCAAGTTACAAATGAGAGCATTGAGTATAATAAAACCTGTAATAAAGCAACTTAGTACCATCCACCCGGAATCATTGAGATCAGGCACAATTAACAGGAGCATAAATCCAAGACAGAATGGAAAATGTTAGAATCAGTATTATTGTTGGACAAAGACTAGAGAAGGAAGTAATAGTTTTTTAAATGGTAATGCCTGGGTTTTGTAACGATTGCGAAATCTTCTATCTCAGCAGCACTGGTGTTAATTTGTAAACACAGCCAGACATTATATTGCCTGTCAGTTTTTGGAATTAGAAAACACGGTTTCATTTGACTTTCTAATCACGTCGTGACTCCGCCGCGCGAACCCCAGCTGTAGCCGCCACCCCGCAACCTGCGGGGGGACAAAACGTGGGGGAGCCCCCGCGGCGGGGGGA